CACACACACACACACACACACACACACACACACACACACACACACACCCTAAAGCTATGCACCTAGGGAGTGATGGGAGCTACGAGCTTGAGCTCCTGTGCACTGCCTTTTCTTCTTCCTCCTGATCTTCTGGGGGACCCTTTTTCATGTTCCCTGGTAGCACTACAATGTAGCATTTGCATGATGGACTAGAGAGGGACTTCTTGTCTTCTTCAGTAATGTGAATGCGATGGATCAGTGATGACAGTCTGACGCTCTGTCTAAGGTGCTTGCGACTTCATTGGTTTCAGGGTTTGCATGCTTTCACTGCCAACCAATTTCATTTTTCCCATTGTGAGCGGGACTATTTATCCAGGAAGTTGTCTTGAAAACAAGACAACTTATATAGGCAGATACATCCACAAATGCCCCCCTACTCGTATACTGGAAAAGTCAAATTTTTTCAAGTAAAAATAATTAATAAAGAGGGAGTATTAAGTCAACATACTCATAAAGGAGATGATCCTCTAACTGAATATTAGTTACTGAGAAATCCGTGTGAAAACCATCAGACCCTTGAAGGAACCATTAGAAAGTGATCTCTTGGTCTAGTCTTGGCTTTGTCAAGTTTGCTGGTTCCTCTCTGCTTGTCCTTTTGTTCCTGTGTGAATTCATCAGCCTTTTCCAATGCAGGAGAATGACGAGATGAATGTGTCTCATCTCAGACTGCACGCTTGGGTCCAGGCCCTCGCATGACTGATGTGGTATAAACATTTGAGAGCAGAGCCATGGTGGCTCACTATGGGCCTATCATCTGTGGTGATTTGAGATGTGGACATGTTTCCTTTAGTTTTCAGTTCTCATGGCTTGCTTTTTTCCTTTCTTTATCACAGGCGCTTTTGGACTTGACAGAAATTATATGGGAAAGTCCTTAAAAGGTACAGTGTAAATTTGGGGAAGGATCTCAGAGACCGTAATAATTTTTAAAGCAGACAAAGGTGGAATTATCAAGATGACCTAGCATTCTGTGTGATAAGCCACTATAATGAGACTAAACACGTTTGAGAGACATGGAGAGAATGGCTCTTGGCAGATCTGTTTGGAGGGCAAAAGTTCCAGTTTTCTGAGGGAATACCCACATTTTCTTTAAATTAAGCAGTGTCTAGGGAAAGAGAAATGTGAGCTGGGAAATAGCTGGAAATAAGAAGGGATCAGTATGGCCATCTCATGATTGATATCATCCTTCATTATGATAAAGCAATAAAGCATCCAGAGAGTTACAGAGAGTTTCCACCGCACAAATGACCCTCGCTCTGTGATAACAGAATTATCCTGTGTTTCTGAGGCCATCAACTCCAGCTTTATTGATTTAAAGGCTTTAATTAGTAATTTTTCTCATAGTATCAGAATAGAATTAATTGTATTTGAATGTGATCATCAGAATGAAATCAGACCCCTGGCATTTTTCTTGGCAATCCCCTTAGAGGGGAGACAAAATTACTTTATAGATGGACAATTTTATAGAAAATCGACTTCAAAATAAGTGGAAAGTGCACATTATTTTCAGAAAATACCATTATGAAAACCTACCCATAAAGACAAAGAGATAATCTGCCCAAGGAAATTATCACCAGGAAATGATGTTTCCTGTGAAACTGCTCTTACTGCTTCCCTTCCATTTCTCTTCTCAGACCTGGGAAAGAACTCTGAATACAATTCCAGCAACTGCTCCCTCAGCAGCTCCGAAAACCCGTATGCCACCATCAAAGACCCACCTGCCCTCCTGCCCAAGAGCTCTGAGTGTGGCTACGTGGAGATGAAGTCCCCGGCGCGGAGAGACTCCCCATACGCAGAGATCAATAACTCGACCTCAGCCACCAGGAATGTCTATGAAGTTGGTGAGTTTTCCATCCAGATAGAGAACCCTGGCACAAGACTGTGTTCAAAGCAGTTCTGAGTAGACCATGCTTTACCTGCTATTGTGTTTTTAGAGATCGTATTAATTGATATGAATTTTTCAGAAAAATCACACCTGGCAAATTTAAAATAGTTTTCCTTTATCTTCCACACGGCTGTCATCTCTTGTTGTATAACCACAGTGAATCTATTAGTGCGTGTGTGAGGAAGCACATGTATCAGATTAGTTAATACAGCAGGTGAGCCAAGATGAATGCCTCAAGTGGGCCGAACAGGTGGCCCCATTTCCTGGCTTTATTCATAATATTAACATAATGCTTTTTAGCAGAATTGCAGCGTTTTATTTTAAACTTGTTTAATGTGTCAGATATATTTTCATATGAATCTGATGTAAATTAAGAGGAATTAAAAGTAATATTATACTTATTTTAAGCTCTGTCTGTGGATGCCATTTGGGAAAAAAAAAAAAAAACCATACTGCAGCCAGTGTTGAATAGATAGTAGATCTATTTATTTTAGTCTCTTTCTCTCTCCATGAATATACACTATGAAAATATCTTGTTGGTGGAGAAGGTATAGTGAGCTTATTTATCCATTTAAAATCAGTAATAGGAACTCCCAACTGTTCTTTAAGCCACCACACTAATGTGAGAACTCAGCTCAGTGTTTGAGGCTAAAGTTGTGAATATGTTTGGTATTTCCATAAATTGAGTTAACCTCTAAGAACACTTTCCTCTGTAGAATCAGGGGCTTGGACTAGATTACTTTCAACGTGTTTCAAGACAGTGATTAATATCCATAATCTCGGGTCGTTCCCTTCATTTCTTCCTCTTTCTCTCTGAGCCCCATTTCTGAGTGTCAGTTTGTTCAACAACTATAGAGTTCTATTCCCTGTATGATTCTAAAAAAATATTGTTTTTTTAAACCATTTTCCTATAATTTTACATATTTATATTTTCCTTTATTTTGTTCGGTGTTTGCGAGAAATACCATCTCTGAAAAGATTCCTCTTGCCGATAACTTTTTTGTTGTTGTTGCTCCTGGTTTATTACAGAACCTACAGTGAGTGTTGTCCAGGGAGTTTTCAGCAACAATGGCCATGTCACCCAAGATCCATATGACCTTCCAAAGAACAGTCACATCCCTTGCCATTACGACCTGCTGCCAGTCAGGGACAGTTCATCCTCCCCTACGAGAGAGGATGGTGGTAATGGCGGAAGCAGCAGCAGCAGCAGCAGCAGCAGCAGCAGCAGCGAATGACACCAAATGACTACTGGGTGACCACTGGGACTCTTTCAAGCCTTCAGTCCATCTCCAGTTGGCACTGCACATGGCTGTGAATTATTTCAATCAGTTACTGGCCCCGCACCAGAAAGCGCTGAAGCTGACACCCGTCGAGGTGTGTCGTGAACACGTGGTTTGGAAGGAGAGCAAGTCAGTCACGACCTCTCATTGCTGTTAGGTTAGAAACTACGACAATGACTTGTTTTAAGATGTTGATGAGGTGAAGACGGCAGAAACTTTCAGAGACACAGACTGAAGGGGACATTGTAACTGTCACCTGGGAAATTAAAATCCATTTGTTATCGTTAAGGTCACAGAGGCACCCCTAGGACTGTGCAGGTTACCACACATTTTCTTAATAAAAGCAGAAATTGCTAACCATGTAGGAGACAAGGAATATATTCCTGAGTCCTTCTCGCATAACTTTTTTTTTCCATTTGGACTCAAGATTCTAGAGATTGTATGAAGACAGGAGGAAGCATTCTGTCAGGTGGTAAGACTGAATAAGCACCAGCAATGGGGGCAAATCTAAATACGAAAACTTTATGTTTTTTTTTTTTTAAGACTGAGAAATGTACAATTAGAATTATTTTAGATAGTCTAAGTGTTGCAGAAATCAATATATAAATGTGGTATTTCTGTTTGACCTTTGGCCCATCTTAGAGTCATGACATCATTGCTGTCTCCATTATGCCTCTTTACCACTTGTGATTCATAACTTATCAGTTATTTGTAAGTACATAGATGCAATCGTTTTATTTTTGATTGAGCGAGTGTCTGATGAGTGGCAAAGTGTACATTTTGCCTGTAGGATGCTTGGATTAGAGAAACCATTAGTAAAATGTGCTGTAATATAGACCTAGAGGAACGTTTTCCTTATTTTTTTTCCCCTAAAAGTGACTGAAATATTTTTGTGCATATTTGGAAAGAGGGCCCTTTCCTTTATTAACTGTGGATTTAGAGAAACTATGCTTAAGCTGGCCTTTTGCATTGCTAATATGACATGCACTCGTTTCTTTTTGGTTTGTATTTTCATTACATTGTATATTCTACGTTTTTTAGTGTTTGGATTGTTAATGCAAAAGTATGATGTATCCACTGTTTCCTGCACCATTGCCATTTGTCTTTTTGCTGATAAAAATGCATTACTTTTCTCTTGGAGAGAGAAAATGAAAATTATACAGTTTGAACCTTTATAAAAATTGGTCATCATCAAAATAGTACAGCAGCCATAGGTGCATATCTGGCCACTGGAATGGAACTTTCTGATAGTCCACAACAGAGCTCTTTTTGGAAATGTCAGGTCCCGGAGTCTTGGGTAAATTCGAGAAGAAGGAGCAGTAAACACTGCAGGTGATTTTAAAGACTTTCCTTCTGGTCCTCCATAGCTGACCATCTGGACTGGGACACTTTTAATAATAAATGACGGCATTGCTAATAGTCATCCTGCATCGGGTTTAAATATGGACTAGACTCAGCAGACGAGAACAAGCGCGCGCTTGGAGCACCCTATTGCAGACACATCCTTACCCCTGAGGCTTTTATCTCATGACAAGGCCAGTGTGATACAAGGAAGCGTTTCTCTACATGAGCCGGCAGAGGAGTGGAAAGGCTGTCAGGGAATGGCACGTCATAAGAGGATGCAGCAGTCGCTGATGTTTTGAAGATGGGAAACCCTACATGACTTTCTGTTGGAGTCTGTTATTAATTGTCTGCTACGCACCCATCTGCTGGCAGTAGCTATAAAGTGTTGTCCTGGTCTGCTTTAGGGGTGGAATACCTAGTCATTTTGCATTTTATACCTGTGCCTAGCATGATGGGTTAATTTGGTCAGGCGAATAATTCTGCAGACGCACTTAAGGCAATTGCTCTTTCACTGTCTGGAACATATTTTAGAAACAATCCATTCCCCCCCCCCCATAGTTAAGCACCAGCTGATCCCTAGGGAACAGGCATCAAACAGACACATGGGTTAGCAGCCTCCGGGAGTCCTTCCTGTTAAGGCAAGGTTGAGCATTTGCCCCTTTTCTCCTTAAAGATACTCTATTTTGAGCATGATGGTAAGATTGAGAAAAAAGAATTCGTGTGCCAAGGTGAGAGGAACTTACGCGGAGACCTGCTGTGTTATGGAGTACGGATGACATGCTGCCGTGAACCTGTGTTCGAGGCTGGGTTTAGCCCCAAGTTAGCTCCTCCACAGCTTTTCCAAAGTCAGAGCTCTTCACACTCCAGACACCATAAAATCCCATGCTGTCTTTGGAGAGGATGCATAATTTTCTAGATATTTTGCTGTTGTTTCTCTCTAGTATCCTGCGGGAGGAAAAAAGCACTGAATGAGTTTGGTGATGCCCTTTAAGGGGCAGCCATACGAGGATGTGATCCTAGCTATTGCTCTTTCCTTAGAAACTGTTGTTTTAAAGTTTTTATCGTTTACTGTTTTGGGCACAGCATTACATCTGAACTTGCCCAAATGGTTATTCATGTACTTGCTTTTATTAGAAGAGTATAGTATTTGTGGCTAATTGTATAGTAAGAGAATTTTCACAATTACCGTCCTAGACATGAGCCGCTCCCCACAGAGAGCTAGTAATTCCATGTGTTCAGCAAGGTTTTCTGTGGGTATTGGCCAAGTACAGAAAAACCGACCTTTAAACATTATGGCAGAGCAGCGTAAGGTGTCACAGCCAAATCTATCAGCATAATGACTGCTGATTGTGAGAAATGCAGGCACCTTCATCGGCATATGGTCGTGTTGACCTCCGTGGGCCGAAGTAGTGACCAGTCTTAGGGAACTTTGCAACCAAATATAACTTAAAGTCAAACAAAAGCATCATAACACCGTCAATAATTCATATTGATATTAGAAGTTTAATAAGTCAGATGAGACAAAAATCATAAAAATCAAATCTTAGGGTTATGGTTTTAAAATAAGGAACTTTCCATCTCTGGGTAACATGTTCTTAGCATTACAATGAAACGTTTAAGGGCTATTTTGATTTTAAAGGCTTATTGCCATAGACATGTACAGAGGTTTCTGTGGGGTGGTTGCTGCGAAGCAGGGGCTGACACACAGCAAGCTGCCCCCTAGAGGCCTCTTTGTCATTTTGTCTCAGCTTTGCTTTGATATAACCAAATTGCAGTATATCTCTTTATATATTTAAAAAGGAAAAACTCCGTATGCAGTAGGGTGATGGCAAATAAAATTAACATGTTGAATGTTAAGCTATCTTTTTCCCAAAGATAAAAAACCCTGCTCAGTATTAGTCTCGTTGTCATTTGTACCACCAAACAGACCTATAGATGAATGCAATAAACTTTCCGATAAAACAGCTTTAAAGCGGTATTTATTTCTTCATCTGATTGTGTTGATCAAAGGAGAGAAAAAAGCTTCGCGATGCTACTAGAAAATTAACACTCCATCATTCATGGCTCCATAACACTTTACATATGCATCAACTTTGTTATACTTATTTATTTTTTCTTTGTTATATTTAATTGCTAATTGTACGCTTTTCCTTTAGATCAGTGGTTCTCAATCTTCCTAACTCCGTGACCCTTTAACACAGTTGCTCCTGTTGTGGTGACCCCAAACCATAAAATTATTTTTATTGCTGCTTCATAACTCTAATTTTGCCTCTGTTATGAATCATAATGTAAATATGTTTTGAAGATACAGGTTTGCCAAAGGGGTCGCAACCCTGAAGTTGAGAACCACTATTTTACACTGTTTGTTTTCGAGTTGGAGTTTCCTGTAGACCAGAGTGGCTGAGGATGACCTGAGCTTCTGAGGCTTCTGCCTCTACTGCCTGAGGACGAGGATTACAGGCATGCACCACCATGCCTAGATTATGCAGTCCTGAGGATCCAAACCAGGGATTTGTGCATGATAGCAAGGACTCCATCAATAGGACTGTATCCCCAGCCCCAGATTATGTCTTCCGGAAAGACAGAAGCCGCATTTTATTCACACCTGGACTTGATTACAGTTTCAGAGGGTGAGTCCATGACCATCATGGTGGAAATTATGGTGGCAGGTAGGCAGACATAGTCCTGGAGCAGTAGCTAGAGATTACATCCTGACTGGCAGGCAAAGGGCAGAAAGAGAGACTGGGCCTGGCATGAGCTTTTGAAACCTCACAGCCCACACCCAGTGACATATATGTTCAAACAAAGCCAAACCTCCTCCAACAAGGCCATACTTCCTAATCCTTCCCAAACAGTAACACCAACTGGGGACCAAGCATTCATGGGCCTAAGGGAACCATTCTCGTTCACGCCAATCAAAAAGCTCTCTCCTTGTGGATCTGTTTGCCAGCCGTAGTTGACAATGCAGAGAAGCGTTACGACCCTCAAGTCGCTCTACTCACTCAGTCAAGGGCAAGCTGTGCAGACTTAGACTCACCCAGACTCAGCGTTAGTCAAGCCTCCCAATCAAGGCCTTGAAAGAAGGCACAGAAATGGGTAGAAATGGAATTTTACATTTCTGTAAACTGGCGAAGGGTGACTACAGAGGGTCACCGGTGAGAGCCAGGTGACCTGGGAAGATACAGAAAGAGAAAGTAAGGGGGGGGGGCTTCTGCTGTCACATACACAGCAGGAAGAGAAGCCAGAAATGTTGGGGTCGCTTAAGCGATGGTGGGTAATCCTCACGTTGGGTTGAGGACACCTGTCTCTACTTGGATTTCCAAACTGAACGGCCTTTTGACAGTGACGTGTTGAAAGAGACCAGCCTGGCCTGTGACCATCTGCTATGGCCACTTGTTACACTATGCCAAGGACAAGAGAGATCCACAGAGGTGCTGAAATTCAATACACTGTCCATATGAACAGACAGAGGAAGATGGGTGGGAATATTGTAGCATATTTAGAAGGGGAAAAGGAGAGGGGACAATTAAATGGGCCACTACTATGAAGACGGAGGAGGTAAAATAGGATCGAAGCCCTTAAGAAATATAATTGTAGGAGTGGAGTTTCCTGGAACTAAAAATGATTTATTACTTTTAAAAAATCATTAGTGGAACATTAAAAAAGGACAATATATTCATTAATAAGACTGAATTCATGTTTTAAAAGATGAGATTAATTTCTCTCACGTGTGTGCGCGTGCACGCATGTGGGTGTGTTGTTTGCATCTGTGTGCGTGCATGGAGAGGCATGAGGAGGATGGCAGGTGTCTGTGTTGGTTTCCACCTTGCTTTTGAGACAAGGACTCTCACTGAGCCTGGAGTTCAGTGCTTTGGCTGGGCGGATTAGCTACCATGCTTTGCGGATCCTGTGTCCCTGCCACCAACACTGGGTGCAGGCACGCACAGCTATGTCCGAGTCTCTGTTCAAGGACACAGAGGATTTGAGTCCACATCCTCTTGCATGAATAGTGCCCTCAGCAACTGAGCCATCTCCCCAGCCTAAGAGTGAAATTTTAAAGGTGGAAATTATAGGTACAAGAAATACTGGTCCAAACGTCCTAGTACGTAAAAAGTGTCTGGTCCAGAAAGGAGGGAGAAGCCATGAAGAATAACAGAAGAAAACTTTCACAATGTGACCCAGGCTTTCAGGTCTTCCTTTTGGGTGTGGCCTATCCATTCGGTTAGGGTCAATGAAAAAAAAAATATGGAGGAGGGCGCTTCCTGGTGAAGTCTCAAATTTCTTAAGGATAGAAAAACTTTAAACCGCAAAAGAGGGCTTAACAAATTGATTACGAAGCAAAGAAAATCTGAGCAAACAGAGATGGGAGATGAATGGGGAGGAGGCCACAGCAGGCAAGCTCCATAATGACTAGACAAGTTGAGTTGTGCACCTGCCTGCTCGCCTCTTGTTGCAGCATCAGTGGCAGGACAAGATTTGATCACCCCATTCAGTTTGGATCTCAAAATTTGATCCAAACTAGTATAGACCAAGAAGAGACAATGGGCATCGGAAGCACAGAAGGTGCCAGGCTGCAGATGGGCATAGGGAGGAAGCTGAAAAGGAAGGAAGCACCTGTTTATCATTAATTTGCTATTAAGGAACCAGCAAAAATCAAACCCCAAGGTCGAATGAATCAAAACCTACACAACTTTCTGTTATGTCACAGTTCATCCCGTGTTAATGACTTAGAATCCACTCCTGACTATGGGGTGGCAGAAAACTATCGGAATAGACCACAAAGTGGTCACACAGCCGTAGCATGCTTAATAATTTAGCGTGCTATGCCCAGAATTACAGGACAAATGATCTTTAAACACCTACACACAGAACTTGAAATTCATTAACCTGTTGTAACCTCTTTAATGTAACCTGTTTAATGTTCCCCCAAAGCAGAGAATATGTTGCTGAACTAAGAACAAACTTCCCTGTTTTCTAAATTTTTAGCTGGATGCCAGGCTTAGTGTTTCATTTTGTGTGTGTGGACAGGGTTGAGTGCATTTGTATGAGTGTGTGCATGAGTCCATGAGACTTCAAGGACATGTGTATGTATGCAAGGGGAGACCCAAGGTTGATGTCAGATGATGTCAGATGTCTTCTCTTCCTTGCTTGCTCTCTGTTGTGTGTCTGTGTGTGTGTGTGTGTGTGTGTGTGTGTGTTTCATTAAGGTCTCTCACTGACTCTGGGACTCTGGAGCTCATCAATTTAGGTAGACCAGTTAACCAGTTTCAGTTAACCTGTTTCTGCCTCTCTTAGTATTACAGTTACAGATAGGCCCTATACAACTTAGCATTTATGATCCAAGCTTAGCTTTTTAGCCCAACCAAGCCAGTTTTTTAGCTCCCAGGCTAGTTTTTCTTTAGCTATATAATGGCCAGTACAATTAGGAGAACAGACAGGGACACAGTTCTCCCTAGATGTCTTGAGACATTGCTTGCAGATACCTCACTAAAACTAAGGCAAGAATATGGTAAACTGTCAACTAAAGCCAAAGTATATTGACACAGTAGTTTAGAAGCTTAACACTGTGCTCAAGTTCTCCTGGGCACGATACACTTCAAAGAATAATGAAATAAAAGGGTTGCATTTGACATCATACTCCGATGCCTCAAGTCTGTGGCGTAGAATTAGTGGATGATAAACCTGGCTTGAGGCTTGAGGATGTAACTCAAAGGTGAGCACAGTCCTAAAATGGAAAATGCTCTTGGTTCAGGTTCAACACACACACACACACACACACACCATGACTTGACAATAGTGGTAATCCGTATATCAACATGTAAATGTAGGGGGAAACAAAACAAAAACTGCAGCTCAAGACTAGGTGAATTCACTCCTTTTTAAAAACGATTTTTAAAATTTACTTATTATTCATACAGTGTACTGCCTACACGTACACCTGCTCACCAGCAGAGGGCACCAGATCTCACTATAGGTGGTTATGAGCCACTAAGTGGCTGCTGGGATTTAAACTCAGGACCTTTGGAAAAGCAGCCAGTGTTCTTAATCTCTAAGCCATCTCTCCAGCCCATGTGAATTCACTTCTTATGTGATGAGTGTCTTGCCTGTAATGTATATGTGCCATGTGCATGCAGTGCCCAAAGGGACCAGAAGAGGGCGTTGGTTCCCCTAGAATTGGAGTTATAGACAGGTAAGAGCTGGAAAATGAACCCAGCTGTATCTCCAACACTGAGTCCTTTAATTTTTGTTTTTACAAAGGTGTATGTTTTCATTTAGATGCGTGCATATGCGTACGCCTGCATTTGTGTGTCTGTTTGTGGAGACAAGAGGGTGGCATCAGGTAGGTGCCTCAATCGCTCTCCACCTTAGTTTTTGAAGCTAGCTTTAACGCTGAACTCAGAGCTTATCAGTTCAGATATCTCTGCATTTCAGGGCCGGGATCACAGCTGTGCACTGCTGCTCTCCACTTTTTCTTTTTTATGTGGGTGTTAGAGACACAAACACTGGTTCTCGTGCTCGCACAGTAAACACTTCATCTGCGGAGTCATCCCCCATCCCCAGCAAAGCCTTTTTCTCAACATCATCCTGGGAAAACTGGATTTTCACATGTACAAGAATGAAACTAGGTCTCTGTCTCCCACCTTACAAACACACACACACACACACACACACACACACACACAGAGAGAGAGAGAGAGAGAGAGAGAGAGAGACTCAAAATAGATCATAGACGTTAATGTAGGACCTGAACCTTTGAAACTGCAGGAGGAAACCCAAGCAAAATATCAAAGACACAGCATCAGCAAGGATTTCCTGAAGAGACTCTAATAGCACAGGGAATTACCTAAAGAACTGGGAAATAGGACTGAGTGAAACTTAAACTTAAAAGGTTTTTTTTTTTTAACAGCAAAGAAAACAATTTTCAGTGTGAAGAGGCATCTCCCCAAAAGAGAAAATGTC